CTGAGATATTAATTAAAAACTGTGAAAACGCTAATTTTCGGGCTCATTTTTCCGATTGCAACAGTTTCTTGAATCGCCGCAGATACAAATCAAGGTTATATTCTAAAGTTGAATAAAGCACGCGATTGCATGTTACCTAACTGTATTTTAAAAATATTTCGTTAATGTAGGCATTTTAAATAAACAGCTGCTTTTCACAATTTTTTTTTAATTTCAGGTTAGGATGATTGTCACGTTAATTCTTTTATTGATATTGAATAAAAGTTATTATATTACATTAAATTTAAATGATGACGTTCTTGAAGTTGTACAACTTTAATCAGCTGGGATATTAATTAAAAAATCTGAAAAAGCTATTTTTAAAAATATGTTGTTATTTTTTTAATAATAAATTTGATTTTTTGGAATAATATATTTTTTATGTTATTAGATACGTGCACTTAATTTAGATATTATCTTTTAATGCAAATGATATTTTAAATAAGTTCGCACCAATAAAAATTAAATTCACACTTTTTTTTTTTTTTTTTTTTTTTTTTTTTTAGATTAAAGATTTTTCTTTGCTCCTTTGAGATGGTATACGGTAACTTTCGAATCCCGGTGAGCAGGCAGGCTACACTCATGTTTTTTGTGATTTTACGCATATCTGTTGTGTATGCAGTGTCTTCTGGATGCATAAATGAATAAAGCTGAACTCTGGTAGTTCGGTCCTAATTTCGAATCCCGGCGAACGGGCTGGGTCCATGGGTGTTTGCGTGATTTTACGCATGTGCCTCGTGTACGCAGCATCTTCTGGATGCATAAGTGAATAAAGCGGCCGAAATTCGCTCAAAACCTCTGATTACTGGTAGTTCGGTCCAACTTTCGAATCCAAGCGACCGTGTTGGCTCAATGTGTGTTTTCGGGATTTTTCGCATGTGTAACGTGTATGCGGTATCTTCTGCATGCATACTTGAATAAAGCGGGAGCAGCCCGCGCAAAACTACAGAACACTGGTAGTTCGGTCCAACTTTCGAATTCCGGGGTACTGTACATAAAATTTGGTCGCATACGTGAATACAGCGCGCGGATACCGGGTAAAACCGCTGAACACTGGTAGTTCGGTCAAACATTCGAATCTCTGCGAGCGGGCTGGCTGCATGGGTGTTTTCCTGATTTTCCGCATGTGTATAGTGTATAAAGTGATTTCTGGATGCATATGTGATAAAAGTGGGCGCAGCCTGCTCAAAACCTCTTAACGCTGGTAGTTCGATCCAACTTTCGGTGTCGGCGAACGAGCTGGCTCCCCGGGTGTTTTCTTGCTTTAACTCATGTGTATCGTTTATGCAGTATCCTCTCCATGCTTATGTGTATAAAGCGGGCGCAGCCCGCTCCACAAAATCGCTGAACACTGGTATTTCGGTCCTACTTTCGAATTCCGGGGTACTGTATATAAAATTTGGATGCATACGTGAATACAGCGCGCGGATACCGGGTAAAACCGCTGAACACTGGTAGTTCGCTCAAACTTTCGAATCTCGGCGAGCGGGCTGGCTGCATGGGTGTTTTCGTGATTGTTCGCATGTGTATCGTTTATAAAGTATCTCATGGATGCATACGTGAATAAAGCGGGCACAGAATACTGGTAATGCGGTTCTGGTAATGCGGTAATTTCGAATCCCGACGAACTGGCTGGCTCCATGGGTGTTTTCGTGATTTTACGCATGTGTATAGTGTATGGAGTATCTTCTGGGTGTATATGTGAATAAAGCGGGCAGAGCCCGCGCAAAGCCACATAACACTGGTAATTCGGTCCAACTTTCGAATACCGGCGAACAGGCAGGCTCCATGTTTGTTTTTCGTGATTTTACGCATGTGTATCGTTTATGCACCATCTTCAGCATGCATACGTGAATAAAGCGGGCACAGCACGCGCAAAATCGCTGAAAAATTGTATTTTCGGTCCAACTTTCGAATCGGCAGCGGGCTGGCTGGAGGGGTGTTTTCGTGATTTTACGCATGTGTACGGTGTACGCAGTATCTTTTGCATGCACACGTGAACACTGTTTTGGGCGGGCTCCCGCCCAAAAGCGCTGAACACTGGTATTTTCGGTCCAAATTTCGAATACCCGCGAAAGGGCTGGAAGCATGGGTGTTTTCGTGATTTTCCGCATATGTATAGTGTATGCGGTAACTTCTGGATGCATAGGTGAAAAAAGCGGGGGAAGCCCGCGGAATGCCGCTAAAAAATGGTAGTTCGGTTCAACTTTTCAATACCGGCCAAATTTAACATAGGATATCTTTTAAAAACGAACAATGATAAGCGGGCTTCAGCCCGCTCAGCTGGCGGGCTTGCCCGCTAGTATAGATGAATACACGTGAACAATTTTCTAAGTCCTTGTATACAAAGAAGGTTGCGTGTTCGCATCACGTCCGGGTCACCATTGAAGTGTCTGGAAAGTAGGAAAATGCTAAACATTTTTCTGACTCTTATGAGATTAACATTTATTTACATTTATTCATTTCGAATTTTACAAAACAGAAAATCAGTCATTGTTCTTTTGATTTCACTGTGGCTTAATAATGCTACTCTGGCAAAGGAAAATGTGCACGCGAAGAGTCTCGTAGATGGCGTTTTCAGTATTGCAAATGATGTCACCACAGCTAGTTTTGGGAGGGTAGGTACTAACAATAATGTGCAAAGAAGTTAAAAAAGCTGTGTCTTGAATACATTTAATTTGCCAATGTGTTAACACATTACAATTTATGGACTCCACATGTTATCCTGGGCAGGGAGTGAAATGTGAACAAGCATAAAAGTAGAGTAAGGCACAACTTAATTGATTATGTTTATACATGGCTATTTTAATAACAATCAAATGATGACATTAAACAGTGAGGAAAAAAGAGGATATAAATAGTAGTGGAATTTAAGTGATTTAATATAAATTTAACTAGAAACATATAAATAAGCACTTTCACAGCATTTTAATTTGGAAAATGCAAAATTTTGCTTATGGATCTCTTGTAATATCTTTAATGCAAAATTTCATTTATGAATAATTCATTACTGGAAATTGTTTGACCAGTACTGTACCCATAATCTTAATACTCAGAGGGCATCGCTCATTGGAAGAGAACTTTCCAATGTAATATTTAAAGTTAGTTAAAAAATGCAATCTTAATTTGGCATAGATCTTTTCAGGCATGATTTGAGGGCTCCCCATGTATGGGGTTTAATCCTAGTATCCGGTGCACACGGGATTTGGCGACTTTATGATGAGCAGTAAAAACGAGACATATAACGATGAGTAGTAATGGGTCATTCAAAGAATATTGATAGTATATAGTGTGTAGTATATACATAGACGTTCTTTGGGTCTTTTTTGGTGTTGGCGATAATTTTCAAAATCGCGCCAAGGCTGCACCTTATACTAGGATTTTACCCATATTTTACTTTTTTTTATGTTTTAGAATGCAAAGTTAATAAAATTGAATGACAGGGCTTCAGAGTCTAAAGCAGTTTGTATGACACTGTGAAATTTGGCAGTCTGTAAAAGTTTTGACAGTGAGTTCGCCATGTATACATGGTGATTATAATTAATGTTCCACTTTCAAAAGGCTGTAAGAAAAGAACCACTGATCAGAATAACCTGAAATTCGATATGAATGTATGTGAAGCAATGGGAATTTGTCTGGCAAAGTCAAATAATAGTTCAGAATTTTATCAGTAGATGGATTTGTGCTCATAATAATATGCTAATTACATGACATGTGCATCCCACATTAAACTTGTAATATAAACACAGGGTACATGCAATTCCCGTTATTCTGCATATGAGCAGCCGATCGTGATTTTGTCATTGAAAGATCAGGCTTTGCTTGTGAAATCTTTTACAATGGTGACTGTATGCCAGCTGCCCTGAAGGCATTCTGGACATTAAGATGTGGCATTGGTATGTCTATCAGTGTTCTCTGGAAAATGATTCATAAATTTGAAGAGACCATTTCACTTGACGAGATCTACCAGAAGCAGGAAAGCAGTTGCTTTGATATCAGTGAAAGATGTGGTTATAACATTGCAAAAAGAGACAAGCAGTGGTGTGGAAATGCACAGTGCAAGTTGAATTGCCTGATCTTTATCAAATTTAAGAAATGTCCTGCATCAATATCCATTTAAACTTATACAGGTTCAGGAGTTGCTTTGTGCCGATCTACCTGCCAATACAGCAAATATTTGCTCTATAATATCTTATTCTGATGGAAGTGGACAATACATGGGCATGAAAAATTTTGTTGTGGCATGAAACAGACAAAGCGCATTTTCATCTCGAAGACTGTTTCGATACTCAATATTGCAGAATATGGGTAGCAGAAAATACATTTCCACAGCACCATTTGCCTGTTCATTCTGAAAAAGTCACTGTGTAGTGCATGTTTATAGCAGCGTTTATCGCTGGCCTAGTCTTTTTTGAGAAAATATGTCCTGTGGGCCCTGTAACCTGCACCATCAGTGGCAAATGTCCTGAAACTCTTTTGTGCAACCAGATTATGCCAACATTTCCAACAGTGTGCATGTGTGAGTAGCATGATTTTTATGCAAGATGGCGCTACTCCGCACATTGCAAGGTGAGCGAGGTAGATAACATGTTGAGCATTTTTAAGCAAGTTCAGAGACACTTAAAACCAGATCACCAATTTCTTTTTATACAATTTATGACCTTGAGACAAATAAAAACTGGTATTTTTGATAAAACTTCGATTATTTTTTTGGGGGGAGGGCAAACAAATTTTCATTGTTTCAATGAAGTATTCAAGTCATTCCAACAAGTTGTTCATTTTTTTACAGTCTTTTGAAACTGGAATGTTAATACCCTGTATTTAAAGAAGCATTGCTAAAGTAAAAGAATTTTATAATTATAATTCTCTGGAAACAAACTGATCAATCTGGTTGAAGTATTCGTTTCTTTTACATCCTATTTATTATATGGAAAAATTCATATGTATTTTCTAATTCACAGAGTGCAAAGTTCCTGCATCCCCTCTTAATTGCCATCTGTCCAGCCATCAGCTATCTAAAGCTGCAAATGACATCAAAAGTAATCAAGAAAGGTAAATTACTACTTACTTAAAAATAATTCTTGCTCTTTTCTGTGCTTCAGCAATGAGCATTTAAATCATGAGGTATTATTGATAATATTACCTTTTATTGTTAGAAATATTTTTAATGGAATCCATCTACCCCCTTCCCCCCCATTTATGTTGTGTTGAAAGAAAGGCAATTTGCCTTGCAGTGGACCTTGCAAGTGTTACCAATGCGGAAGAAATAAGGCAGTAGTTTTTCATTTAGCCTAGCAAATAGCCAGTTTCAGAGGGTTGCCATTTATGTGATATAAGATCTTTAATCATTTTTTGGAATTGTAACTGTTTTGCTTAACAAACTGAGCATTAAAAAAAAATAAACATAGTGCATAGTAATTTTAATTTTTACATTATAATTTTAATAATGTAGGTACCATTTAATTTCAAATACTTATAATATATTCTATCGTTAATAGTGAATATCTGCAGCATATTATAATTAAATGGATATATCAAACTCCATACATTACATAACTTAATATAGAATTGCTTGTTTTTCTAAATAACATTTCTAATGAATATAATTATAATATTTTTTGTAAGTTATATTTTTTTGTGTTTATGATAGACTTAATATATATCTTTATAGATATTCACATGTTATTATAAGTAATAAGAGAGATTTCCAACACCAGATAGACTATGTCTTGGTGTAAAAAAATTGTTTGTTTTTATATTTGTATGTTTATTTTGTAATTTTTGGCTATGCTTGAATCTAAGGAAATAAAGTTTATGTTGTTTACATCAAAAGAAAATGTGTGAAATCTTTTGCAAAAAACACATTTAATTATCTGACACTTGCTTAATTTTGAGATTAATCAAGCTGTGTTGTATCCCTGTCAAATCCTTTACATGATCTCATTCAGTATTATGTAAAATGTTGGGGGGAAAAGAGTGTGGAGGCAGAGTTAGAAAAGCTCAAGTTATTGCTTTTTGGGCATAATACTTGGGCATTGCTTACGTCTATTGAAAAAAATATAAAATGCTTTAAATAATAGTGATTTAAATAGTTTCTTTCCGTTGTATGCCAAATGCTTTCTAAAGAACTTCAGTTACTTGAACTTTTATTGTTGAATCTTAAATTGTACATTACTTTTCTTTTTTTTTGGGGGGGGGAAGGCAGAAGATGATCAAAGATCAAAATCTGACTCTCATTAATGTAATGCAAGTGATGCATTCTTTTGTTTATAAAACATTTACTTACTATAGCACAGAATAGAAAAATAGCTTTCCAACAAAATTTTGCAAAGGAAGAATTTACAGTATTTGTGAATCTCTTATGCAACTGAGATAAATTACCTGCCACTTACTTATCTTTAATATTTTAACTTCTTTTGTTCAGTTTTACATTTCATCTGTAAACATGTTAATTGTTTACCATTTGCCATTGATTGGTGGGGGGGGGAATGCTGTTCTGCTCTTTGAAGTAAAGGCTTAACCTAACCCTTTATTGCACAAGTTCCATTTGCCTAAGAGGAGAGATGCTTTTGTGGAAGACTCTCTGAAAAGAACTGGCTTATGCTCATGTGATAGATGGAAAAAATCAACTATGCAGCTAGCCCATTCACAGGGGATTAAACCCAAAGCATGTGAAACTACCAGTACATATTTAACAAACTTAAACTCTTGCTCTCAGATGAGGCTCTGAGAAAAGGAAAAAAAAAAAAAGAAATTCTATCACACATTAGGCTTTTACAACATTTTACATAATACTGAATGAGATCATGTAAAGGATTTGACAGGGATACAACACAGCTTGATTAATCTCAAAATTAAGCAAGTGTCAGATAATTAAATGTGTTTTTTGTAAATGATTTCACACATTTTCTTTTGATGTAAACAACATAAAGTTTATTTCCTTAGGCTTTGCGAGAAAAGTCATAAAACGTTACAAAAGTTTGTGTGATTGTGTACAGGGAAACCAAAAACGCCTGAAAAAGAAAATTATGTATGATAAAAACTAGTTTTATGAGTCAAAAATTCCTTGTATTTTATATGTTATTGGTCAGAAGAAATGATATCAATCAAGTGATATGAGAAACAATTACATATTTGTAATATTAAAAACGCTGATTAGAATAATTTTGTGAGGAAGGTTTTTACGAATGTGGTCAAGCATTCTAAATACTAAACTGAAAAACACTGTAAGATTGTCAAAATTGAGGTCAATATGATTCCAGAAGGATCTTTTCTAAACAGTGGATAATGGCTGTAAAACAGCAGAGTGCTTTTTAGTTGAAGTTCCCAACAGAGGAAATACCAAAACTCTTATGTAAAATTATCAGTTAGAACTCTATCACACTGAATTAATGTAACAGAAGCAGAAAGACTAAAAAAAATTGTTTTGAAGGTATTTTTGCATCAGTTACAGAAGTATGACTTCCAAAATTTTCTTGTGTTTAGATTGACAATCTTTTGACGAGATTTTTTCAAATTGGTTGCCTTATAATTCTCCAAGTAATTCTTCCATCTTTTTTATCCAGACAACTAATGGATGTCATATTTTAAATAATACAACTAAAATTCCTTTCATAGAGATGGTTTGGTTTATTTGGTATGCATAAGGAGAAGGATACCTTCATGGAGGACTTCCTGTGGGAAATTGACTCGTAGCCACATTACACAGGAGGAACATCACGGAATTGTCCATGAAGTGAGCCAATTGGCCAAGATTTGAACTCCAGTTGAACTACCAGTGTTTAGCGACTTTACAACTCAGCTGCTAGTGGATGTGTATAGAGAAGGAAAAAAGCATAACATTGCTATTCTCTTTAGGAAAGGAACCCTTTATAGCAATCTGGAGAGCTACTCAATGCTTGCCAATTTGAAAGAGTTGGAATTCTTGAACCTAGCACATGGGAGCTCTTTTGTGCTAGTGATTGTATAAGTCATCTGTCATTAAACACACCCAGGATTGAACATGAAAGTCATTACCATCTTCAAGGGCATATGAAACTTGTGCACTGCAGCACTTCTTGTTATTGCTAATAGATGGTGTCATGAGCAAGCAACCACTCACTCAAAGCCACCAAGGTCTGTCTAGGCAATCGCTACACATTATTACAGTTAAACAGTAAATGGAGTTATAACAAATTGTAAGCATACAATAGGAGCTGCTTTTCTAGCAATGTTTAGAGTTAACATTATTTGCTGACCATTATATAATAATCTGTATATCATTCATATTCAATGTAATTAATTTAGTACTTTATTAAAAATATGTGTTGTTTTCCTTTTTACTGTTATTTAAATTAGTAATGTAAATGTTAATAACAAATTTAAATTTACTGTGTCTAGCTAGAAGAACTAGCAATCCAAAGACTTCTGAATATGTGTGTTCTATTGAACTTTTAAGTGTATTAAAATTTTTATTAAATATCATAAACCTTAATAAAATGCATTCCAATTTTCAATGATTTACATTTTTAATAAGTGAAGAGGTCATGGAAACTGAGAAAGGTGTTGTAAAAAATTTGGGTACTTTTCCGTTTCGCCGGCGCAAATCTCGCCAAGCAGACTTTATTGGCGACAACATACATTATACACACAAAAAATATTAAAAAAATTTTAGTCCTAAGAATTCTTTTTTTGAAGGCATAAACATTTTAATATCGCTTAAATTTTATAAAAAGCCAATAAATAAAGACAATAAATTTATAAAAAGACATTAATTTAAGAATTTACTATGCATTCATGGTTCAACATCCTGTTTCGCCGGTTCATATCACGTGATCTCATCTCACGTATACTACTCTACAAAAATATAATGCTCTCATTAATTTCAAGTTAAATCTTAATTTGGAACACAAGTTTAAATGCAAGAAATACTTCAATTCGTACGAATAGCTTACTCAGAAATTATGTAAAACTGCAGTGCTTTACTTCGCTAATGCATTCTCATTATGAATTTAACCCTTGACTTTACCTTTTCTATATTTTCGGCTTCGGGTAAGCGCTGTGATTGCATCCTAATTGATTTAATTGCCGAAAATGGCTTTAGACATAAAACTGAACTATCTGAATGAGGTGTAAAAGGTTACCAGCGAGAATATTCCGTTTGGCATCGGTTGTACCATTATTGGCGACTTTATCGCTTGCGCCGGCAAAACGGAAAAGTACCAAAATTTGCATGATTAAAAGGTAAATATAATGACATCAAAGTGCAATAGTGTTTGCTTCATAATAACTCATTTTTTAATCTAAAAGTGAACATATTTTAAGGACATTTTAAAATAAAGTTTATTCTTATTTCTATGAAAGATAAAGTTCAGCCTTCAGTTTTACAATAAAACTGCCAAAGGTTGCAGAATTATTACTGATTTTAAATTAATTTTCATTTCAGTATGTTTTGAATATCATATTTAATAGGCTTTGTGAGTTTTTATTTTTATTTTTATTTTATTTTATTTTTTTTTTACTGAATTTCTACCTGCTGTTTTTTTATATATCCATGTGTCTACTTTTGTTATTGGATTTCATTAACTTGATCTTCATTAACTTGATTAACTAACTTTCATTAACATTTATGCATAGTTCATGCCTTTATAATCATGAAGACTTTTTTGTTCAATTACAGATGTCACTTGAGTTATTCTTCTGCCGTTCCAGTGTGCAACAATGTTCGGCGGCCCAGTCCAGGACACTACTCTCGCTTCCAGTTTCGGAAGACTTTCTCCTCGCGTTGCACCTGGAAGTGCACTGCTATTGTCTGCCTCTTCATATCACTTGCCATTTTATCCGCCCTTGCTTATTTTGTTGGTAAGTCATGAGTTCATATTGGTATTTGTGCTGGCCTGTGCTCTTAATTGCAAAATTAACAAAATTTTCCAGTCCGTAATGTGTGAATTTCAGATATCTCCAAAAGGTCTTTTAGTGGCCACTTTCTAATAAGGAAATACCCTCACTTCTTTTTTTGCTGTAACTTGTACATCTTAATATATTGTATATCTGGAAAACACCAGATTTTCTTTTGCTTTCCAAATGCAGTTGACAAATTCATTCATGTTCTGATAAGGGTATTGTTGAAAATGTAATTAATCAACATTATCTGGCAGAATCATATGTAAATTGTGCATGTACAGGATATTTGTAGTATATATTTGCAAGTTTTATTTTGTTAACTCCTGATCCTAGGGAGGTAATTCCAGATTGAATGTTTCTTTGAATAATGTAGACATTTTATGAGGACAGCTTCAGCACTAGGGAATAGATGAAAATGCAAAATGTTGTTCCATATAGGATATGCCATCCTGATTGCTGTGTTGGCTAGTGGTACATGCTGCCATATCGTAGGGTCTGAGTTCAAATCCCAGAGGCACCCTGGCCACATTTTTTGTAGTGAGATGCTTAAATGACCAATTTTTACCATTCTTGATCAGTACTTATTGAAGAGATCATTTAAAAGTTCTTGTATAACTGAAATTTAGAAAAATTTTCATTGTACTTTAACAAATTAATTGTCAACAGTTTCTTAACTTTATCTCAAATTAATCACAGTATTACAAAATGAATTTTTCTAACTTAGATCACTTTCTGTGCAATGGTTTCAATTAAATATTCTATAAACTTCCTTTTAACTTCAAAGAATAACTACTAAACAAATGTCAGTTAATGAAACTGTGAAGCAGTACTAATTATTAACTTTGTAACTGGCTTAAAAAATTGTGAACTGCCTACATTTCACTGAACTAGCAAGTTATAACTCCTTGTTGGATAATCTAAAATGCATATTCTAGTAAACTTCGGAGTATGAAAAAAATGTAGAATAGTATTATAGGAAACAACTACAGAATAGTATTACTATTAATTAACGTAGAATAGTTTTACAGGAAACAACTACAGCATTGAATAGCAATGCTATTCAATGTGGGCAAACAAGTGATGCAATATTTGCATTACAGACTGGGATATTATGAAAAAAATTTTTAAAAATTTTGAAGAACATTTGAAAAACATAATGTTAGAAAGATAGGAGGGAAATGAAACTGTTATGGCATTGTGCATCCTGTATTCTTTAATTCTTTTTAAGTAGCCTATAATTCAAATATTTATTTATTTTGAAAAGTAAATAAATATTTGAGTTACATTTCATGTTGGTTTTCATCAAAAATTACCAAGTTCTTGTAGTCTTTCTAAATATACATAAGTGCTTTTATAACATTTCCTGAAATGAGTTGTTGAAATATGGAATGAAGATTTATTACCTCACAAGTTTCATATTCCATCTGGTAGTTTTATTCTGAATACTATTCTTAAATTGATGTTTTCTGTTAATATTGATTATGTTTTAATTCTTCCTAGCTTTAATGTTTCCTTATTGGCATCATGCAAGTTCTCATCCTTGTCCAGTCATGGTGGATGACATGGAACAAGAGATTGGGAGAATCAATTCAGGTGTGTATAAGTTACTTTACATGCATGCTGTATTATCAAAAAACCTGAATCTAAAATTTCTACATGCATACCTTGTGCAATGACAAATTTGCTTGACCAATTAAAACTTTTATTTCCAATTCTTATGAAAGCATAGACTATAACTGCTACTTTACATCCTTAGAATTTGTAATATGTCTCTAAAAGTAATGTTATATCCAACTTCGTTTAAATCAGGGTTTCTTAATCTTTTTCCAATCACGACCCCCCTTTTATCACTGAGATTTTTTCATGACCCCCAGGACCCCATAATATCTACAAAAATTTTGTGGGACCCCATAAGTATTGCGCAAACCCAACATACGTGTGAGTGAAGCTGTCAATTTTTTCACTTGTACTGCAATTTTAAGTCATTAACTTTAATTCCTAATTTTAAGACATAGAACAATGTGAAAATTTTAAATAAGTAACAGATGAAATAACAGCATCACATGCAAAGCAAGGAAAATGAACGTTTATATTATAAAAAGAATGCGTCAAAACGTTTTTGTTTTTTTCTTTGTTTATATTGTTTTACCCCTTTTCAGATACATTGTGTAAAAATATTTGGTAATTGTATAATTATTATAGTACGTTAAAGAAATATCAAAACTGCTGAAATTTTTGGCGACCCCCTGCTGCAGGTCCCGCGATGCCCTTGGGGGCAGCGACCCACAGTTTAAGAAATCCTGGTTTAAATTATCACTAAATCCCTGATATCTTTTCAAGTGGGTTCCTTCCAACAGTGATGTAGAGATAATAAAGTATAACATAACTATTAATTTTTTAATCAGTATTCCTTGGAAGCAAATTTTAATTTTTTTCTTTTTCAGATTCAGGGAAGAATATAGTTATAAATAAAAATTGTCACACATCCTCACCAGTCTTAAAAGGGGGATTTGCAATCTCATCTCCATGTTCAGTTTTCAATTTGACATCTGCAATGGAGCATCAGCACCTGTGACATACATTTAGCAACTTTCAATGATACACTAAATGACATGAAATGTAATATGATTTGGTTAAAAAATCGAATTTTTATTTAAATAGAACCCTATAATTATTTTAAAGATATTTCCATCTCTTCAAAGCGAAATTAATTAGATAATGAAAAAATATGTAATTCATAGGTTTATAAAAAGTTCAAATTTATTCATATTATGAGCAAACAGTTGTAATTTATTATTTGAAGAAATATATATTTGTTCTGCCTTTTGCTTTAACAGATTTTCAGTTAACAAATTTTCCTATAACTCAAAGCTGCTGTCAGTCCATAGAGAAATTGCTTAACACTCATGCAGTCAGAAACTTGTGTAAAGTTGAAAATAACCAAATACACTATTGATAGTCAAAAACTAACTAAGGAGAAGTCAGAACAAGAGTCCTATTAATTTATGAATCATTTGTAAATATAATAGTTAATGATCAGTCACAATTTTTATTATGTATTTTAGGATTATTTAATATTTCTCTTTAAACTGCTAGAGTTTAAAACAAAATTTCACAATAGTGTATTTAACTTTTGTATTTGTTCCCATTTATATAAAAATAATGAATAATCCACAAAACCCATAATAACCATTTAATATATTAGATAAATGCTTATACAAGATCAGGTTAATGTGTTTCAGTCTTTATAAATATATTATACGTCAAAATACAGACTTAAATTGGCACTTTGAGTGACTTTGTGACCTTACTTCAGCATAATGCTATCAAAAGTTTACTGACCTTTCCTGAAATTGTTTTTAGTTAAATGATTGTGATAGACTTACCAATTTAAGATGTATTTTCCAGATATTCAAAATTCAAATCATGAAAACCATTATAAGGAGCTGTTCAAAAGAGCAGTTTCAGATAATATGGGAAAACCTTACCATGATATTATTTCAGTATAAAATGCAGTACAAAGTCCGTAATTCAATCAATATAAAATGCAGTACAAAGTCCGTAATCCAAACTCTTCAGGATTCCTGATGAGGGTTTTTTCCGGATTATAGATATCATCAATTTAAATCTTGTAAGTTGACATGCAGAAATTATACAATTAAAAATATGAAACCGTAATTTATGAAATAAAGAGCAATTATGATCTAAAGGGTATCAAAATTTACAAAAAAAGCTTAATATTTATTTGTTTACTTTATTAAACATTTCTTTCAATGTAAGTTGTTTAAGTTGCTTCGTTTTTTGTGCTAAACGTGCATGCATAAGCATTAAATGCGCATGCGTAACATTAAACGCGCATGCGTAAACATTAAGCGCGCATGCATAAACATTAAACGAGCATGCGTAACATTAAAGGCGCATGCGTAAAGCATACAGAAAAAAAAAGTTTGTGGCTTTGAGGCCTGGATTATAGATCATTCCGGAAAATGGATGTCCGGATTACAGACTTTGTACTGTAGCATAAAGTAAAAACTTTTGCATTTGGTAACTAATACTTATCAGACTTAAAATAAAACAGTATTAATTATTCATGATATAATTTTTCATTTTTTTCTTTGAATGACTTGCAACACGTATTGCACAGTGACTTGCATGAGGCTTGTAACACGTATTAACAGAAAGAAAAGTGCCAATAATTTGTATTTTACCTAGACATTAAAATTCACAGAGCAAAAACAATAAATAATGCTAGATTTCATGTGTAAAAAATTTATGGCACCTGAAATTGATGAATCATTGTCAGCTAAAGTTAACATTAATTTGTAATAAAGTATTATTTTAAGTACTTGAGAAAAATAATTTTATGTTGTTTTATGCTATTTAGTAAACAAATAAAGAAATTCAATGTGGAAGTCAAAAATAAGTTTGAAAACATTGCTGACTGCAGTTTCATTGTAATTCAGACAAACTTTATCAAAACTTCTCTGTTGTGATGAAAACAACAACAGTAACTCTTGGTTGAAAGTTGTAATTCTTGGTTTAAAGAAGAGGATTTGGGATTGGATCAGTTCTTTCCAACAGGAATGGAGTGAAAGTTGCATTATTCACAAGACTCATATTCAGGAAAACTCTATTCCTATTGGAGATGTATAAAAATTTGTTCCAAGCTCCACCTTTTCTTATCCGAGAAAGCACTTTAGTTTCCAATATAAATAAAAACTATAATTTTTACCACTTTCACTGTAACAGCAACACTTTAATGAAGCAAATTCTGGTTCAGTATTTACTTAATTTATTGGTGCTGATTTTGTGTCGGATTTCTTCATCATTACTAACTAGCATAACAGAATGAGCTAGTGTGCCTGTATGTAATATTTCTGAATGATGAGGAAGTTTTCCTAAAATACCTACTTTTAGTTTCATTGTTATTTATGAATATCAGTACTGTACTTCTTTAAATGGCTTCACAGAGTTATATTTAAATCATTTTGAATATGCAGTAAAGTCTGATTATGATATTAGTTTTAATCTCTTTTTTTTCTTCTTCTTGATAATAGCTAACATTCCAAAAAAGACACCACCACCTAAAAGTGAGACATTCTCTGAAATCCAATTGGGTAAGTCTTCTAGTGCCAAAATTGGTAGTTTTGGGTATTGGAATTACCAATTTCACCTGAGAAATCCTTCTCTAGTCAAGTTCAATTATACACTTTCTCATGGTGCCAGCTTAGGTGTATATGGTCGAAGAGACGGCATTCCAACTCACACACGGTATGACTTCTTCGAAATTTTGAAGCCACGAAGCCATCGAACAAAAAGGTCAGAAAAGGTAAGAAGTTTCTTGAGTGTGAAATAATGCAAAATATTTAGAAACACTTTGTTTTACAGAAATTATCTCTAATGCCAGTATGTTTCAATTAAACTTTTTAAGTAATTTACAAATGCACATCACATTTATGTAAAGTGGTATTTATAAATTAAAAAACAAATAAAATTTTTAATCAAAGAATTTCAGATGGCATTTTTAACATCTTAAAAAAGAACCTTACATTAAAAATTAAAAATAATACAAAATCAAAATTACAAAAACTCTTAAAAATTAAAAAAAA